AAAATGAATAAAATAAAGCAAAAATCTATAAGAAGAAAAAGAGAAAAGCCAATATATGATATCAGCTGTAGCAAGAAAGGGAAGGCTATAAAAAGCCTGGAAGCCCTTTAACCATACAAGGCTGGGAAAAYAGTTTTCTGCTACTCAGCCAAGGGGGAGCTACAGACAATGAAAACAAAAAAAGTTTAGTGTTTATTGCCTCTTTTTGCTTCCATCTGCTGGGATCACCTTCATGGTGTAAAAGCTGGTCTGCCACAAGGAAAGGAAACAATTTTTCTTCTACAGAAGAAGGGCTTTAATTGAAGCAGGAGTCTTCCAGCTTGGATGTTARGGATTGCAAAGGAAGCTATGAAATCACTCACCTTGTAGATTTGCAAAAATATTAGACAATGGCCCTTAGGTCAAGGCATAGGTTATTTTTTACTCAGGAAAGTTCACTACAGAACTGTTTCCTAAAATTTTTAATTCTGCATGGAAACAGATKAACTAACATTTGTAGACAAATTTCTCAAATCCTACTGTAATTCAGTGTAAAATCTATATATAACTCCAGTCTAAGGAAAGTCAAACAACATCTCCATGCTTGACTGTCACTAATTTTGCAAAGATCTGGATTGCAGTTTAAATATATAACTTACAGAATTTTGTAAGATATTTATTTGCAGAGTTTGTCTGGGGCTCTCTACAGTCCTTATTTAGTCARCCATAAATCTATCAGATTTTTAACTTTCAAAATCAAACAAAGTCTGGAAGTAAGTAAATACAGAGAAGGCACTAAAGTCTGAAATAAACACAGACATTCAATAAAATACTTTGAGGGACATTTTTGTTGGGAAGACACTGCTTTTGTGTGTGCTTGCATGTCTCTGGTTKTGTATATGCATATGTGTGTATAAATACACATTTCTGCATGCAAAAATGTCCAGATGGGCGAAATAACAAGCTATTGAATGAAATTATGCTCTCTATATGTTCTGTAGCAAAGGATTTAAAATTTTAAAATTGATTCATACTGCGGTCTCTACATTTCCCATCTGAGACTCAACAACATCAGCCATCATTCTTCAGGAATGCTTATGGCTAAAGTGTCTAAAATCAGTGAAATGTCGAAGGAAAGTCTGAGTGGCCTATTGATACAAGGTTAGTTACACTAGGAACTGAAAGATGAGGAGCTTTATAGCCCTGGCTGTAACTGTGTTGGTCCATCTAAATTGTCACAACTGGTTTCCATACAAGCACTGGGAAACTTAATTTAGCTCTCTCTCAGAAAGGACCTGAGCTGCTGAAAGAACAAGGTGCATTTTTTTGACATTTATTCATGAAATCATTACCTCTACTAAAAGGGGACAATTTAAACGACCAACAGGAGGGAGTTGGTTTTGAAGCGGAGCAAGACCACCATTTTCCCACCAGTGGAAATACTGAGAAACAAGAGGTATTTAAGGACGTGTTGTCAAGACTGCTAAAGGAAGACAGGCTACAATTAACCGAGATGGAATATGTTCAGGACAGAGGCCCAGCAAGCTCAAGCAGTCACAGACATTAAGTACCACTCCACAATCACAGGAGCCCCACCCAAGGCAAATCCTTGTCAGGGCCAAATGACAGCCATGGTTTCCTGCAGCAGCTGATGTCTCTGAGTCTGAGCCCTTGTTCAGACCCAGCTGATTCATCCACGAGATCCGGTGAGATTGGAAGGTTGTTGCTGCGAGCCATTTTGGAGCGCTTATCAGGAAAATGCAAAATGACTAAATGCCTATGGCTTGGGGGGAGCAGGGTTATTAATAGAGCCCCTGCCAACTGATTACAGAGACATGAAGAACATGGAGAAGAATTGTTCTGAAGCAAAAGGAAAACATTCCTAAGAATGAGGGAAGGGAGTCCACCACAATGACTTAAACTGAATCCCAACAATATCTGTCTCAACAACCAGGTCTGAACTTAGGAAACGAGCAAGGTCTTTGTTGAAACAAYTTAAGGAWGACGATTTGGTTKTATGCTTCAAG